GCAAAAAGGCCATCCCTATGCGTGCCCCACCATGCGTATATGCTTTACTACAATGCATTAAGAGTTATTCATGGAGTGGAATAAGTTCAACATACATATGAGAGACCCTGGCTGGGAGCATATGTCACAATATCCACCGGGCATGACATAGCAAGCGTAAGTTTACGCGTGAGCACATGCAGCAGTGTTTGCATGTAGAATTATTGAGTAACATGGTTACTGGCAACAATTGCCAGGGAGTCCAATTACCATTTGGCTACACTGAGAAATACAGCAAGAACAGGAACACTTCCGTCGAGTGTTCACTATCTATGTTTATCTATATTATGGTTTTGTATAAAGGTGTGTATGTGTATATTTGCGGACTGCCAGGGCAGTAAAAGACACTCCAACCACTCGAAAATTATTCACGCAAGCAACTGTAAAAATATAGACACGCTGTGAGCACCATGCCCTATAAACCAACGCTGCTAACATCGCCACCATCACTCACAAACATAAACCAATCACATTAATTGAGGGCTACTTTAATATCATTCCCTGCTAATGGCATACATTACGACTGCGCCATCCGGCCATTATAATACATATTTTGCCAACACGGTGGATCCACTCTCAAATATCAGAGGGCCCTAGACCCAGTGTTGGATTCTAGGAAATATAAAAAAATCGTGTTTTTTTTCCATGCGTGTTCTTTCGTGTCGACTTGACTCTTCTTAGTCGACACAAAAATGCAATCTTCACTTGGGGGAGAATGTAAAGTCGTCACCCTATGTCTGCATCACATTCTTCACGCGGGAGTTAAGGTGACATCTGTCGAGAAAAAAAACTCACTCTGGTATCTGAAGTGGAGCACCACCCAGTTGCTACCTCGATGTGCAGGACTGATGTTAATCAACGAACACATTCAGGTTGATTGGTTATCTAGCACTCACCGGTTTCCTTGGTCGCCTCCTTATCACTATTCTATTGCTACTACCTGGCTGTGTCGTCTCATCCATACTTGTGTTTAACCACCACACTGCAGTTCACAACAACTCACCCACCCACTCACTGCTCACCACACTGCAGGCCACAACTTACTCACCCACTCACTCACTGCTCACCACACTGCAGGTAACAACTCACCCACTCACTCACCCACTCACTGCTCACGACACTGCAGGTCACAACTACTCACTCACCCACTCACTGATCACCACACTGTAGGTAACAACTCACTCACCCACCCACTCACTGCTCACCACACTGCAGGTAACAACAACTCACTCACCCACCCACTGCCCACCACATTGCAGGACACAACTCATTCACCCACCCACTCACTGCTCACCACACTGCAGGTAACAACTCACCTACTCACCCACTGCTCACCACATTGCAGGACACAACTTACTCACCCACTCACTCAATGCTCACCACACTGCAGGTAACAACAACTCACTCACCCACCCACTGCTCACCACATTGCAGGACACAACTCACTCACCCACCCACTGCTCACCACACTGCAGGTAACAACTCACCCACTCACTCACTCACTGCTCACCACACTGCAGGTAACAACTCACCTACCCACCCACTGCTCACCACATTGCAGGACACAACTTACTCACCCACCCACTCACTGCTCACCACACTGCAGGTAACAACAACTCACCCACCCACTCACTGATCACCACATTGCAGGACACAACTTACTCACCCACTCACTCACTGCTCACCACACTGCAGGTAACAACTCACCCACCCACTCACGCCTCACCACACAGGTCACAACTCACCCACCCACTCACTCACTGCTCACCACACTGCAGGTAACAACTCACCCACCCACTCACGCCTCACCACACAGGACACAACTTACTCACCCACTCACTCACTACTCACCACACTGCAGGTAACAACTCACTCACCCACTCACTGCTCACCACACTGCAGGTAACAACTCACCCACTCACTCACCCACTCACTGCTCACCACACTGCAGGTAACAACAACTCACCCACCCACTCACTGCTCACCACATTGCAGGACACAACTTACTCACCCACTCACTCACTGCTCATCACACTGCAGGTAACAACTCACCCACCCACTCACTCCTCACCACACAGGTCACAACTCACTCACCCACTCACTGCTCACCACACTGCAGGTAACAACTCACCCACTCACTCACTGCTCACCACACTGCAGCTCACAACAACCCACTCACTTCTCACCACACTGCAGGACACAACCGCTGGTCTTTCTGCTTCTTCTCTCGCACAGCCCCACTTTGGAATCCCCCCTCCCCCATGTTATCTCTACCCCCCCGCCCACCCCCATCTAGTTCTTAGCGTAATATAACCCTAGCTCAAAGCAACAAAAGTACAACATCTTAAATCTATTGCAACTTCCATAGTGGGTTTTGTTGCTGGTCGGCCCGCTTTGGATTGTTGGGCCTTTCGGGACCCTGTGGCTGGGCAACCGTGAATTTAAACAAAATAACCTTTTTACGTGGTGGTTAAGTCAACACGAACTCCGCTCGTCACTCCAGCCGGCAGGCAGGCAGGGCAGGAGAAGGGCAGGAAGGATATCACAGCAGCAGGGCAGTAGGGCAGCAGAGCAGCAGGGTAGCAGGGCAGGAAGGGCAGGCAGGGCAGGAAGGGCAGGAAGGATAGAGTAGCAGGGCAGCAGGGTAGCAGGACAGGAAGGGCAGCAGGGCAGGAATGGCAGGCAGGGCAGGCAGGGTACAACAAGCGAGGTGGGGCAGCAGCAGCAGCAGAGTTTCTGGCTCTGGTTTGGCAGGAAGCAGCCACCACGGCGTGGGCAGCTGCTGCTGCTGCTGCCCCACCACCACCACCACGGTGTCTGCGGCCTGCCATGGTGGCCCAATGGTCGCTGCGTGTGGAGTGGTGTGTGATGTGTGGGTGTAGTGTGGTGAAGTGTGGAGTGGTGTGTGATGTGTGGGTGTAGTGTGGTGAAGTGTGGAGTGGTGTGTGATGTGTGGGTGTAGTGTGGTGAAGTGTGGAGTGGTGTGTGATGTGTGGGTGTAGTGTGGTGAAGTGTGGAGTGGTGTGTGATGTGTGGGTGTAGTGTGGTGGAGTGTGGGTGTAGTGTGGTGATGTGTGGGTGTAGTGTGGTGGAGTGTGGGTGTAGTGTGGTGATGTGTGGGTGTAGTGTGGTGGAGTGTGGGTGTAGTGTGGTGATGTGTGGGTGTAGTGTGGTGATGTGTGGGTGTAGTGTGGTGAAGTGTGGTTGTAGTGTGGTGAAGTGTGGGTGTAGTGTGGTGAAGTGTGGAGTGCTGTGTGATGTGTGGGTGTAGTGTGATGCAGTGTAGAGTGGTGTGTGATGTGTGGGTGTAGTGTGGTGTGATGTGTGGGTGTAGTGTGGTGAAGTGTGGAGTGGTGTGTGATGTGTGGGTGTAGTGTGATGCAGTGTAGAGTGGTGTGTGATGTGTGGGTGTAGTGTGGTGTGATGTGTGGGTGTAGTGTGGTGAAGTGTATAGTGGTGTGTGATGTGTGGGTGTAGTGTGATGCATGATGCAGTGTAGAGTGGTGTGTGATGTGTGGGTGTAGTGTGGTGAAGTGTATAGTGGTGTGTGATGTGTGGGTGTAGTGTGGTGAAGTGTGGAGTGGTGTGTGATGTGTGGGTGTAGTGTGTGATGTGTGGGTGTAGTGTGATGCAGTGTAGTGTGGTGTGTGATGTGTGGGTGTAGTGTGGTCAAGTGTAGAGTGGTGTGTGATGTGTGGGTGTAGTGTGGTCATGTGTGGAGTGGTGTGTAATGTGTGGGTGTAGTGTGGTGGAGTGGTGTGTGATGTGTGGGTGTAGTGTGGTCAAGTGTCGAGTGGTGTGATGTGTGGGTGTAGTGTGGTGAAGTGTAGTGTGATGCATGATGCAGTGTGGAGTGGTGTGTGATGTGTGGGTGTAGTGTGTGGAGTTGTGTGTGATGTGTGGGTGTAGTGTGGTCAAGTGTGGAGTGGTGTGTGATGTGTGGGTGTAGTGTGGTGGAGTGGTGTGTGATGTGTGGGTGTAGTGTGATCAAGTGTGGAGTGGTGTGATGTGTAGCTTGGTGTTACGTGTGTGAGTGTGCTTGCGGTGTGATGTAATAATGCGTGCAGTACAAGGAGCGGTGGGACGCCTGGTGTGATGCAGTCGTGCGGTGCACGCTAGAGTATGGCGCGATTTGTAGCGTGCTGTGTAGGTCGTGATTCATGGGCTAGTGTGGGGATGTGTACTGTAGGCGATGTTGTGTACTGTAGGCGATGTTGTGTACTGTAGGCGATGTTGTGTACTGTAGGCGATGTTGTGTACTGTAGACGATGTGTACTGTAGGCGATGTTGTGTACTGTAGGCGATGTTGTGTACTGTAGGCGATGTTGTGTACTGTAGGCGATGTTGTGTACTGTAGGCGATGTTGTGTACTGTAGTTGCGTGGTCTCCAGCTGCCGTGCAGGTGCGATGGTGAACGCTCGTGGTGCGATGCGTGGTGTCGTGATGTGGCAATGCAGGCTGTAGCGTGGTGTAGCGTGGCGTGGTGTTGTCTGGTGTGGTGTGGTGTAGCGTGGTGTAGCGTGGCGTGGTGTTGTCTGGTGTTGTCTGGTGTGGTGTAGCGTGGTGTAGCGTGGCGTGGTGTTGTCTGCTGTGGTGTAGCGTGGTGTGGTGGTGTAGTGTAGCGTGGTGTAGCGTGGTGTTGTGGTGTATCGTGGCGTGGTGTTGTCTGCTGTGGTGTAGCGTGGTGTAGCGTAGCGTGGTGTTGTCTGCTGTGGTGATGTCTGCTGTGGTGTAGCGTGGCGTGGTGGTGTAGCGTGGCATGGTGGTGTAGCGTGGCGAGGTGTGGCGTAGCGTGGTGTTGTGGTGTGGCGTGGCGGTGCGCTAGTGCGCCCCGCGTTCTACCGACACTCGGCCCGCGTCTGGCCAGCGACACAAAACCGACGAGACAACAACAACGACAACAGCAGCAGCAGCAGCCACCACCACCGAGCACGCCAGAGAGAGAGAGAGCCACCGCTCACCAGCTGGTGGACGACTTCTCGCTGCACACATCCTCGTAGGCCGCGAGCAGAGCCGTGCGGTTCTTGTTGAGGTTGAGCGCCATGACCGCCTTCTTACTCCTCCTGCTGCTCCTCCTCCTGCTGCTGCTGCTGCTCCTCCTGATGCCGCTGCTGCTGCTACTCCTCCTCCTGCTGCTGCTCCTCTTCCCCACGCCTCTCTCTCGACGCTCACCCCGCCGCCTCCTCCTCCCCCCCGCTCGCTCGGCGTCACCAGCAGCACCACCACCAGCACCACCACCACCAGCACCACCACCAGCAGCAGCACCACCAGCAGCAGCACCACCAGCACCACCACCACCAGCAGCACCACCACCAGCAGCACCACCACCAGCAGCACCACCAGCACCACCACCAGCACCACCAGCACCACCACCAGCACCACCACCAGCAGCACCAGCAGCACCACCACCAGCAGCACCAGCAGCACCACCACCAGCAGCACCAGCAGCACCACCACCAGCAGCACCAGCAGCACCACCAGCAGCAGCACCACCACCAGCACCACCAGCAGCAGCACCACCACCAGCACCACCACCACCAGCAGCACCACCACCACCAGCAGCACCACCACCAGCAGCACCACCACCACCAGCAGCACCACCAGCAGCACCACCACCACCAGCACCACCAGCAGCACCACCACCACAAGCACCACCAGCAGCACCACCACCACAAGCACCACCACCAGCAGCACCACCACCAGCAGCACCACGGGGCGGGATTCTCCGCTCCCTTCTTCTGGGCGGGGATCCCAAAGCGGTGCCCCCCCCCCCCCACGGGGGTGGGTGACGTCACAGACTCCACCCAGACCCGCCTTCTTTGTGACGTCACCGTTTGATTCTCTCTCCACGTTGGGTGGGTTTCGGTTGACAGGGGGCTCCTCTACTTACGAACGAGTTGGGTTCCAGAGGACTGTGCGTAAGTCGATTTGCTCGTAAGTCCAAATTTACTCCCGTCGATTCCAAACACGTTGTACGGCGTGTACACCAAACACGGGAATGGCTTTCAAAGTTGTATAATCCCCTGTAGACGTAGATGCCACTGGTTCTTCACGTTCTGCAGACGTAGATGCCACTGGTTCTTCACGTTCTGGAGATGTAGATGCCACCACTGCCATCTATTGCGCGACGGTTGAACTTACGACATTCGGTCTGAACAACCAACTGGACATACGGAAAGGTTTGTTCGTATCTCTGAAAGTTTGTAAGTCGAACGATCGTAAGCAGAGGAGTCCCTGTATGCGATTTTTTTTTTGAAAATTTGCGTTATGTACGATCCAACTCAGAGGTCGGTAACTAAAAATGACAACAAGAGGATTTTTTGTTAGCGTTTCAAATTCGGTAAACAACTTTTAATATTTCAAGAGCCGCAATTGCACGTGGTGAATACGAGCGCGGTCGTCCTTAATAAATAAAGTTACGAAGCGCTCCCTAAAGAAGCCGCGTGCGGCTTCCGTTAGCCGCAGGTTTTCCGGCCCCTGGGCTAACCTATTTCTACCCAAAAATTCGCTCGATGCCGTTTGAATTCAGTCACATGCGGCTGTACCGTCGGACGTCAGGCTACATTGTGTGCGCTGCTCGGCAGGCAGCTGCGTCCACATCCGGTTTCGCTTTGTGTGGGCATTTTTTTTGGGAAAGCATCTACTACCGCATAAAGCGAGGGAAACCTGTATATGCTGTATAGCACAAACAGAACAAAAACCCCGGTTAAAACGAGTTTGCTGCACATATAGAAATGCCTGTATGTCGATCAACAAGTAGCTTGACGCATGTAGAGAGGTAAAAGCACCTATTGTTTCTAAGACGTCTTTGTCAGCGTGGAAGAGTAGACCAAATACCAGCTAGAGCTCCCTCTAGCGGTGGCCTTTCCACCAGCAGTGGTGTGAGCAAGTAATTACAGGGCTCTTGTACCCTCTAACTGAGAAACCTTTTACCGCAGTGCAGTTTTTTTTGTTACGTTCATCCGTGACAATCACTGCAATCATGACGAAAATTCCGCCGCAGATGTCTACAAGCTCCTGACTTACTGTCACCTATTGGGAAAACGGTTACCGGTTTACCCAGGTCGCCCTTGCGAAAGGGGCAACGTTGCACGTGGCTTGATTTCTCCTGGTTAATTAAAGGATAATGGACGTTAGAATACGGGCGCATTGGTGCCTTTACTTGTTTTTGAGCCAAGGCCGTAATTATAATATATTGGGGGGGAGGGACACATCTCCCCCCCCCCCAATATTCAAATATGCTCAAAATGTCCCTCCCCCAATATATTGCTATTAAAAAATAATTGCTATGCTATGTAAATAAAAAGAACAATTTGCTAAACCTTGGCCACAATATCTGGACTTGTCTTCATATAAATCAACGCATAGATTGCTGTTTATATGATTGTGGTTATGGTTGTACTTTATAAATCCCTAATCTCTGCCATTACATGCAATGAAACAAAAAATGGTAAAAAAAGTAAAAACAGAGCAATGTAATACAATACACTATTAGACATTGTTGTTAAAAATAAATAAAAAGTCAATCCCATGTGTTAGTGAATTTAAAATATTTTAGGCAGGAAATGAGTTTTCAAATGTAGATATTTTTCTGGGTTGGGATCCCCCGACCCCCTGGAAGATTTGGTCTCCCCCAATGTTGACTCCATGGCTACAGCCTTGTTTTGAGCGCATGTCTCCCTACATGCAAATAACCAAACAACGTAGCAAAATCATACTGACAAAATGCATCCACATATCTGTCTCTCCACATTGAAAACTAAAAGTGTTTCCTACACAAACCCCGTCAGCCGCTCGGCCTTCTGAGAGTGCGTAATATTTAGCAGAAAACTCTGGATCGGTTTCGACCGACAGTGTCTCATCAGCAGTGTCAGGCTTGCTTGAGTCAATGCGGGTGGACTTCCGCTCTTACTTACAGGCAAGGAGCCTCTCTCTTTATAAGACGAGTCCGGCTTCAACAGCAAACTAATCACGAGGCTAGTTGTCGAGACTATAAATGCCGAAATAAATAATTAGCAGACAATTTCTCCTTGTCTGATAATTATTTTGCAAAGAGACATTGCTGATTTATTGCATTTATATGCAGTGCAGTGCTCCAAAAGGACGTGAACGATTATTTAAAGCTACACTTTATGCAGGCTCCCTTGGAGGACCGGCTTGTCAGCTTGTATTTAATGTCGATGCATTCCATCATCGCCACCGTGCACCTCCTCGGCGTGATGTCACAAGCGTGGATGTGGTTGGTTTTTTTTGTAAACACGCGTCACCTTAGGGGCCGTCCATAAATGACGTCACGCGATTTTGGACGATTTTTTACCCCCCCCCCCCCTCGTCACACGGCGTCACAAAAAATCATACCCCCCCCTCAAATATGACGTCACAAAGCTCTGCCCCCCCCCCCCAAAACCATATTTTTCCATTTTGAAAATAAAACATGCTTCAAATCGTTTTAAACTATTGTCGTTGTAGTGCGTATTTAATGTGGCGCTGCACTGATGTTGTAAGAGAAAACATTTAGGAAAAAATATATTTAATTAAGTAGAACGTGTTGTCTATATTTATTTAAAGTTGCGTATTTTGATGTGACGTCACATTTATCAAACCCCCCCCCCCTCGTCACACATCGTCACAAATGTCTGACCACCCCCCCTAAGTGCGTGACGTCATTTATGGACGGCCCCTTAAACTACTGTTTGGTTCCACGGGGCATATTCTCAAGTGCAGGCGTTAGACGCGAACTGGAAAGTACTGCGTGCACTGTACACCTCGTTTCCATGAATAAATATCAGAAATTGCTTCAACTATGGAAATAAAAAAGCCCGCTTGTTCACTGTGCCCTTCAACATTCGTTCAGAAATAAGGAAGGGAAATCGTGCATTTAGCGATTATCTAGCACTTTCTAAAATGTATTTATCCTCAGAGGTATTTTATTATGAGTGTGGTTTACCTGCTCAGGCAAATGGATTGTAAGCGTAAGATCGGACACATAGACAATGAACAAAGCGAAATGTGCAAAGATGGAAAGCGTGCAAACATTAAAACGTGCTCAGACAAGTGTGGAGATGCGATGCTTTATTTATTTCGAAAAAAACAATGAGCATATTATGAATGTAATGAATAACAAGCATGTTCGTGCGGCTTTAATTGTTGCGTTTGTTATTTCATATTTTGTCAGGATATGAAAGTAAAAATAAAATGAACAATAATAACGTACGCAAATATTTTGCAAATGGATGATACGATCATCGTGCATGTTATACCGAACGATATATTTGTAGTGGAATAAATAGGCGCATGAGGGTAAATGGTGAGATTGCGCAGGGGCAGGAGAGTACGGGTCATGTTGGGACAGCCAGGTGCGATGGTTGGGACGATGAGGTAACGATTAGGCCAATTAAGCTGGGGGAGCCAGGGACGGCTGTGATTGGCTGGTGTTGTTGTCAGGGCTGAAGTGTGATTGGCTGGTGTTGTTCTCAGGGCTGGAGTGGCGTCTTAAAGTCTGGAGAAGTAACAGGCGCACGGGCACGCGGAGCGTCGTTGGGACCGCGGGTTAATTAATTGGAGAGTAATGAGAGCGGGGATAAATTGGGGAGTCGCGAGGAGAAAGGGGGAGTTGGATTCGGGGGCTGGACGAAGCAGGACGTGGAGCAGAGCTGAAGTGAAGGCAGCCAGCAGTGGAGAGAGGAAAGCAGGAGCTGAAGTGGAAGCAGCCAGCAGTGGAGAGCAGAGAGAAGCAGCCAGCAGTGGAGAGAGCACAGTGATAGCAGAGAGGAGAGAAGCAGCCAGCAGTGGAGAGAGCACGGTGATAGCGGAGAGCGGTGACGAAGCAGTTAGCAGTGGAGAGAGCACGGTGATAGCGAAGAGCGGAAGACAGAGACGAAGCAGTTAGCAGTGGAGAGAGCACAGTGATAGCGGAGAGCAGAGACGAAGCAGTTAGCAGTGGGGGAAGCACAGAGACATCGGAGCTGACGGAGAAGTGGAGATTGGAGAGACAAAGGCGGCGAGCGAGTCGAGTGAGACGCGGCGAGCGAGCCGAGTGAGGCGCGGCGAGCGAGCTGTGGCAACAAGGGAGTTGTGGAGCATTGAGGACATGTGGAGAACTGTAAATAAAGTGGTGTTGGAAGAAAGACAAAAGTTGTCCGAGTGAAATCAACCACT